CACCAAAGTTATTAAAGAAAGCTGGTCATACAGTCATTCCATCATTACTTTCCCTGTTCACATCAAGCGCGTCACGCAACAGTGCTCCTGATTAATGGAAAAGAGCTAATGTGTCGTCATTGTATAAGAAGGACGACGAGACTGACAAGAGCAACTACAGACCTATATCCCTACTATGTGTTCCAGGTAAACTCATGGAGACCTGTGTAGCTTCCACCATTACAACACACTTAACAGAACATGACCTTAGCCATAATCACCAATGGGTATATAAAAGAGGACATTCAACTGAGTTACTCTTAGTCAAGATGACGGAGAATTGGAGACGAGCGTTGGATAACAATTTAGTAGTTGGTGTTGTATTTGTAGATTTTCGGAAGGCATTTGATTCTATCTCCCACCCAGTCCTCCTTGGAATGTTACAAGAGCTCGGTATATCGGGTGATCTGTGGTGTTGGGTTAAAAACTATCTTTCCAACCGTCATCAGGTTACAGTAATTAATGGTTGTATGTCGGAGTCGATGCCAGTAAAGTTTGGTGTTCCGCAAGGATCTGTTCTTGGTCCAATTCTGTTTTCCTTGTTCTGTAACGACCTACCAGATATCAATAATTTGGATGATGGAAATATTTATATGTATGCAGATGATACCACGTTATATGCCTTTGCACCAACACAAGATCTTGTTGCAGAAATTCTCAACAAATTTTGAGTAAACTGTATCTCTGGTGTTGCCACAATCAATTAACACCTCATCCAGATAAAACTGAGTATATGATCATGAGTCGAAGAAAATTTATTGGCCCTCTTCAGTGCTTAAAGTTAGGTGAAAGTCAGATAAAACTTGTCGAGTCAACAAGATGCTTAGGTCTAGAAATAGATTGTCATTTGAAATGGAACATCCATGTTTCATCTTTAATTATATCGTTTGGCAAAAAACTAAATCTCCTTAAATCATTATATTTCTTACCGATTAACGCAAAACTGGACTTCTACTTCAAAGTTGTTTTACCTTCTATAACTTACGGAATCTTGATATGGGGATCTTGCGGGAAAACTTTGTTTGATGAATTGGAAAAGATACATGTTCGCGCAGCAAAGATCATCTTTGGTTTCGATTGGAACACCCCTGGGAAAGACGTCATCAACAAAGCTAAATGGTTCACCCTCAATGATATGCACAAACAACAACTTGTATACCTAGCGTACAAATGCTATCATGAATTATCTCCTCCAACTTTGCAGTCAATCTTTTCGAAAAATGTTCACCGCTACCAACTTAGAAATAAAATGACTTATAAACTTCCTAAACCGAACACGGACTTTCTTAAGAAATCAATCTCCTTTCAAGCTGTTAGTTTATGGAACGGACTGAGCCTTGAACTGAAAATTAGTAGAACGTTTAAAGAATTTAAAAAGTCTGTTAAAGCGCTTAAGTTGTAATAGATGTGTGTATAATAGTTTGGGTCATGCAAGTGTCAAATAATGTGATTGTTTGTTATGTGTTTTTATGTGAACAATTATGCTTTAGTGAACCGTTACTCTATAGTCATGTTTTCGTAGAATTTGTTATACTTAGTTACACGACCACATCAGCTATGCTGTAAAATTATCGTGTTAAAATAAATGCTTTTATTATTATTATTATTATTATTATTATTAAGGCCTAGCTAGCCAGGTTACATGAGCTGGTGACTTTACATGGGAAAATTCCAGTCCGGTTATCCGGGCGTCCCCTTTGACTCAAGTGAGATCTCGGCTAGGCAGATTCTTGTTAAATGATTTGTATTAAGCTGGGTGCCTCGGTTAACAGGACTAGTCAGGCTCATGTAAATAGCCTCTTAGTTATTAAGACTTGTTGGCAGAGTAAAATAGCAATAAAACTAGTTTCAACTTGCAACAAATTGGATGTTGGTGCATTAAGTTGTAGTGTTGTTTTTACAAAGGGAACCAAGTAAATGAAACTTAAACATCTAATGTATTCTACTGTGTACAAGTTGTACAAGCCCAAAAATGTAAACAACACTTTGATTTGATTTTAGTTCCATAAATCCATATAATTTAGTTCCATAAATTTGAGTTTAGATCCATAAATCTATTAAGATCCGCAACTGTCCTACATGCACAAATGCCATCCAATGTAATGACCTAGATGATAACAGGAAGCAGTTTTGTTTCTTCAAGGCCTTTGATCAAACAGAAAACACATTTGAAGGTGTTCATGTTCCAACAAATTGCTTTCTGGACCACATCATGAAAGATACAAAAATTGTTTTTGAGGTTGTGCATTTACTACAGCTTGAAATTTGCCAACCGTGAACTTTCCAACACTAAAAAGAAGAACAGAAAATATTTAGCACATCTTTAACCATGTGCACTGGACAATATGCTGCGTTGCCAAAGCATTTTACTTAACAGTAACTTCTACAAGCTATATTGCTTAAAATATTTTACACCAAAGTACATAAGAACTGAACTGTAAGATACAAAGATGGTGTTAAATCTAATGTTTATGGTAATCATACACAGGAGAAACTACTAAGATGTTGTTACACTGAGTAAATCTATACCAGGCAAGCTGAAAAATCAACTTGACCACAGTAAGAATGCAGCCCACAACCTCTGGTTTACAAGACCAATGCATTCCAGACTGAGCTACACAGTTTGAATGTGCAATATTTTATTATTTTGGAGCTTAATTAGTCTCGCTCCTTCAATATTCTTATCTCTAAGATGGTAAACCTAACAATGCTGATGGTAATTGAAAACAGGTGAAATCATTAATTAAGATGGTGCTTGCTGAGTAAATCTACATGAGATTGGTGTGTTGCAATTTTGGGTCATGAACTGTAACTTCTGGCAAGTTAGTGTGCTCCACCATCAATTGCTTGATACAGATGTGAACAAATATCTTACTCATTACTGTTATCCAGCAATCAAAGTTTAATATCAAAGTTACAAATTATAAACCAGTTCTGGTGAAAATGAATTCTACTCGCGCAGTTTACTTAGTTTAGTCCAAAAACTTTTTTGTTAATTACGAAATGAAGCCCAGTACAAAGACATCACATCCCCTTTCACTGATAAGGTATATAATTTAGTACGAATAGTACAGTACGAATTATAAAGATATTCACAGTATAATATGCGCCTAAAATTAAAATAATTCAACCTACTGCGTTCTAAAAACAAGACATGACGCATTTTTCTTTAATTAAGCTAAATTGAATTGTAGTTAGGCCATGGGAATGAAAGTCTCTGATTTGCGTTCACCGCCCGCGTGCTTCAAAAGCTACCGCGTGAAAATTTCATTATTTAGAAAAAAATTCATTATTTGCAGAAAAAACTAACCATTACAGAATTTCAAGTTGCAAATCGCCCAACAGCAGCAAAACAGCCAATTTCGCATTCATATAAACATTGTACGATAATTTTGACATAATATATTCAGTGCTTCCAGGACAATTTCATGGAAATTTAAGGAAATATCATTAGGAAAAGAGGAAATTTGGATTTTTAAGTGGAAGCACTGGCTTAAAGACAAATAATGAATAATGAATAATGAAAAAATGCCGCATGTGATTTGAAAATTTAGCGAACGCAAATCAGAGACTTTCATTCCCATGGCCTTACAATAGTTTCAAGCTATACTCAGAAAAATAACATAATGCGTATATATAATCCATCGGTGCCAAAACAGCACATACAGTTTGCAATGCGTTTAAAATGACAATTTTAGCATCACTCAATAAGCTTTTATTATAATAAAATGAATAATCTACCTTTCTTTAGTACGTCCTGAAAATTTCAATGACATCCACCATAAAATAACGACGATATACCCATTTAAAGTTATGAAATACAAGTTTCGCCATATTAGTTTATAATGTTTTGGACCAGAGTTGGTTGCTTTCAACATGGCGGCCAGGATCCGAAAGTAACATGTGCCGGCACAAAAACTTCAAAGGTTCAGACTCGAGTGAAGCTTCTGCCCTATTTCTATTTTGTGGTTTCATCAAAGCTCTGACTGTCACTGCGGTCAGCGGTTACCAAAGCTTAATACTTCATGACATAACTTAACATATATACTGTCCCAAAGTTCACAGCTGTGTTCCATTTGTTGGATAGATAAGCTTGAAATTTGTATTAAGGCTATTAAGGTTGTGGAACTTATGACTTCAAATCTTTATTCCGAAGTTAATAGTACATGCACTTATCTTTGGAACGAAATAATCTGAAAAAAGTGTACGCTTTTGAAAATGCAAATTTTGGATAAATCTAGAGAAGTACAACTACATGTATGCTCAAAAAACACTTTGGAAAGGCATTTCCTCAGCCCTCAAAGGTATGAATACCATTGTAAGGGCTTGTTGGAGCTGCTGTGAAGAAATGTGCTGAGGGCATTGTAGGTTTTTTCATAAGGACAAGTAAGGCTAGTAAGCTAGATGAAACACAACAAAAACAGCACAATTTTTCATAGCATATAATGTCCAATTCAATATTAAGCGTTGAGTATTCATTCAAAGTAATATGATTTCAGTTTTTCATATTGTATTAATTTACTCGTTTAAGCACCTCGGCATTTAAATTTTTAGTTTTCAAATGCAGCACTTTTTGAGGCGACTTTTTCTCTTATAAATGCGGTGCTTAATCGAGTAAATATGTACGGTATTCTGAAAGTATTTGAAATTGGGGCTGTAAAGTGAAGCTGTGTCTAATTACTGTACCTAGTCCTAGCATTTTCATACTGTGGGAGAACAGTAATAGATGGGGTGGAAGAGCTTTTAAAGGTGCTGTTTTGTTTCAAGTACTAAAATTTGTAGTTTACGCTTTTAATAACTAAAATGGAAGATTGAAATTTACAGATTAAACATTGAATGAATAAGGACTTGAATGATGCAACTACAAACAATTAAAAGCAGGCATTGTGCCTAATATGATGACTACCATATCTACTCAGTTCATTGATGAGTTATGAACAACTGTTCAACTTAAATATAATCTAAACAATGTCCAGTTCCCAATCGGGTTTGGCTAGTATATTGTTGAAAACGTTTCTTAACTCACAAAAATCCTGATAAGTGCAAGGTAACTCTAACACTGGGCCGCATGTGTGTGCGACAGCGGTTTTAAAAATCCCATTGACTTTAATAAATGACACAGATATACTATTCACAATTAAAACATCGGCTCCTGTGGTAAAGCGAAGAAAATGCCCTAGGTTACCTGTATCTAAACCTCTAATGTAACGCTGCAAGAACTTCAAGGCATCACGTTCCCCCTCGGTGTTTGGTTTAGCTTGCAGAAGGTGAAGAACTTTCTTGTTTGTAGGCTTTATAGAGTCATAAAACATTTCAAGCTCCTCAAATGACTGAAATGGCTGGTACACATTAAGCTCAGAAAGGATGGGCTGTCATGTAGATAACATGATATGGGGTTTTTGAGTCCGCTCTTGTTTGGCAATGTCAGTGATCACTTTCTGACAATTGTTTTCATTCAAGACTGTTCGGCAGTTGAATTGTTCCAAAAAGTCCTCAATCTCTTTACTGTCAAATTCATGCAGGTCTGGCAAAAGACATTGCTCAACCAACTCTTCTTCATCGACTGAAAGGTATTAAAGGAACTCATCAGAACTGAATCTGGAACAAAATCTCCAAATAAGCAATATCCAATGAATGCCTTGGATAAAATCAAAGGAAAATAAGATACCATCTTATATCCCTGAACAAGAATTCTGCCAATAGCTTGCCATTCATTCACAAAATGGTCATGTCGCACATAGGGCACTCTTTCTCTTTCTCCAATAGTCATTGAATCTCCAAAAGCTTCTCTTTTTTTTAAAGAGCTTAACTTAAATTTGTTGACATTGTTAATCTATATACTGCGATATTTTTGCTTCAGTATAGTCAAGATTGCCTCCCACCTGACTTTGATGGCCTTTTTACCTCAATCAATAGTAAGCATTTACATGAAACACACTTAGCATCTACTTTTTTTAACTACAGTTTACGCCTATTTCGAACAAACTATGGAATATTTAATATCACTTTTAATGGACCTAAAATTTGGAATTCCTTAGATGAATCTCTTAAAATATTAAGTAAATACTCCTTTCAAAAGAAATTCAAAGAACAACTGATTGGTTTGTACTAGTTAAAATATGTATTTTATTTTATTCTAAACATTCAAACCTGTTTGCAACCAAAGTAGTTTTAAAATGGCTTACGGTATTGTTGTCTGTAGTCTGTTGTAAATTGTCTTTGTGTGACTTCTTTATTGTCTGTTTAGTCAAGTCTGATACTCTGAACCACATTATTGATTCTAAGCTATCTTCTAAC